TATATATATATATATATATATATATAAATTCATTCAATCATTCGGTCAAAACAAACTTACAAATCACGGAAAACTTCATTAAATTGATAAACAGTTCAATTGAGAACAATTAGAAAAAAATGTACTTCAAATATTAGAAAAAGGGATTCCTTAAGGCGAATGCTCTTTATTTTGGCCCTAATGGCTGCCCATATCCCGATGCTAATAGAAATTTACATGTACTGTACTGTACAATTAATTTACTGTTTAGACAAATTGATACATGGAAACGATGATTGGTACTAAAGGGTACCAATTACTTCGCATAATCCATTCGCATTGTGTTGATTGTAAACAAATGTCTGTATTGTTCCTTTCCAATTCCTAGTACTGTATTTATTGCTAATAATTCAAGTGGTATTTCCGTTGAAGTTTGTAATAAAATACTTTAGAAAAGGTTCGCCACATGTTCTAAAAAATGTATAACGTGCCGCGAAGGTGTCACGTTCAAGTGATGGGGCACGAGCATACATAACGGGGTCCCTTGCGTGATTGGTAGGTTTGCAAACGGAATTAACACAGTTTTAAATAGAAGTGAGTGGGTGCGTACGGCTCATGGTCATTGATCTTACTTACAGCACATTTTGTTTTCAAACCCAATATAAAAAAAAATATGTTGTTACTACTTTTATTGTATTTGTCGTTATCTCTGTGCACGGGGCCCTGGTTCTCGCCCTCCATCTTTCCAAACGGGTGAAACCATTGTGCGTATAGCTTTCTAAACGTAATTGCCTACACAGGATTCGGACACCGTCACGACCGCTGGAATCCATCGACCCGCGCCGTCTGCTGATTGTCGGTGGCCGCCTTATGCCACATTAACACTAGACACGATTACGACACGACAAAGACATGATTCAGATGCGCGCAGTGTTAAAGAATACAAATTACGCGATGATAATATGTCGCGTCGTGTCGTTATCGTGTCCAGTGTAAATCCAGCTTTAGCGGAGCGGATCGTCATTGAAAACGATCTGTCGGTGTGCTCCCGGCTTAGAAGCGCGATTGGCGTAATCGATTTGACTGTCAATATGTAAATTCTTACTCAACGATTGAGAATGACGTTCATACCTTTATCTACACGTATCGTAGGCTTACGTGGAGCGTGACGGCCAGCGTGAGTCTATTTAATGGAAACGTATGGAAAATGACGTCATAACACTTTCCACGATCACACATATGCCTACTATTACAATATGTAGGCCTAAACCTCCATGTTATTTAACCATATTAATATTATCATAATTAATAATAATATTATTATAGCTATTATTGTCACTATTATTATTATTATTATTATTAATATCATTATTATTATTATTATCATTATTATTATTATTATATTATTATTACTGTTGTTGTTGTTGCCTATATTATCATTATATTACCATTGCACTTTACAGAAAGTACTCGGAATTCAAAATGGATCATATCCCGAAGTCATATATAGTCCATGTCCATAATATTAGCCGTTATCCGCTGACGATACTCAGCGCGGATATCGCCTGTGGTACATTTTCACTGACTAGAGAGCACCATTAGAGACAGGATTCATAAGGAAGTAAATTCTATTTTTAAACTCACCCATAAAAAATATATACATTTGGTTGCTATTTTTAGAACCCTCCACATACTCTTCTGTAGTTTTATGAAGTGTGGTAATTTCATAATTACAGGCAACCTCATTGACTTAACTAAATCTACTTTGTTCTATTAAAACCTACACTTGTACAATTAATAAACTTATATATAAAACAGGTTGCTATTTTTAGAACCCTCCATAGACTTGTGTAGTTTTATGAAGGGTGGTGATTTCATAATTACAGGAAACATCATTGGCTTAAATAAGTCTACTGTGTTCTATTAAAACATATACTTGTAAAAGTTAATTGCTCCCGGTGATCCGATTTTAATGAGGATTTGATCAAACATGATTTCTCAGTGTTCTACCAAGCTTATTCTTTATTCTTTATACTGGTCATAACTGCTACCAAAATATTTCGCTGAAAAATGTGTAACTATCAAGCGATTAGATAAGCCTATTTCGGTTTTTTTAAAAAAATAAAAACAATCACCTAAATTTAGTGTTGGCGCCAGCGGGGGCTCGGGTTCCGAGGATAAGCCAATCATTTCGTCAGGGAACACTGCTTTGAAAAACAGCATTTTTAATGCCTGGAAGTGCCATTTCGGGACATCCTGTTCCTAAAAAGTTTGCTCCAACCGTGGCTAAGTTGGGTTTGGTCCCCTGTGACCTCTTTTCGGAGAATTTGGACACCCCTGTTAGGGAACCTTGGACGGACCACTCGTCGCGGAATAGGCTGGCACTGCCAATACCTCAATATAAAGCACTCATCAGTAATATTTTTGTTTCAAATTGCTTTTTTCAAGAATTTGTTGATTGTCAATACACTTTTTATACGAACCAGTAAAATTTTGCCCAGGCTCAGCGTTCTTATTCTTTTGTCAATTTCAGGCTCAAAATGTTCTTATTTTGTTCTAATTTTACACACTTTTCAAAGATAGAAAATTTCTATCGTACAGCGGTATATTACTGTACTGTACTACGCAACAGTAAGCCTACAGATAAGATTTGTTGGGTTTCTACTCTTTTTTTTTTTACTGGAAAACCTCATTTTACATTTTATCTCAGCCTCAATTTTGTTTATATTTTAAAGCAATTTTAGCCTCAGTGTTTAGCCTCAGTTTAGCCAATGTGTATGGATGAGCTTTTAACGACCAACAGGCCCGTAGCCAGGTTCTTCCAAGGGGTGTGAGGTCGACGGTCAAAGCCCCGGTGGGGTCGGCGAAACCCCCAAAGCAAGGGGATTTTTGTGCTTTATGGGTCTAAATAATGCTATAAAAGCAGATATGTTTGGAAAGGTCTTTGTCTGGGTTGGTCTGCAGTGCATTGGTTGGGTTGGAGGACTTATTTGGGAAATTTGAAGGGGTGGAGGGTTCGCCAGATAAAGAGGGGGTTTGCTAGAAAAAGGGGTTCTCACGAACCATAAAACCCCCTGGATACGGGCCTGAGCAACGACTGAGAATTGTAGAGTTACAACGGATGGTCATCTATTTAAGTATTTTTTTTAATCAAATGTAAATTGAATTGTTTGAATTGTAAACTGAAACATAAACTAGTATTTATAAAATATGCTCCCAGTGGGAGCTTGTGTTTACTGCTTTGCATAGTTATTTTGTGTTTATTTTTAACTCATAACCCATCCACGCTTTCTGTGTTGGCAATTCATTTGAATAACTGCACAAGTAACAGATTGTTTGACTTTTTTAGTTCTTTCTGGGACAGGTCTTATCTAGGCATGTTTTATTTTGGAAGACTGTGTTCATTTCTATCTTTAGCTTATGACGCGTCCCATCATTCCTCAAACCGGATTTACTTTCTCAACTTACAAGTGAGACGATAGCCGAGTGTCTACTGCCCTCGACAAAACATTCACGAACTTTGTAAACGTTGTGGTTTCACACCCTGTCCAGACTATCAAATGATTTGGCATGCCTAAATATGGTCATGATTGGTCATGATGACATCACATACATAGACACATCATGCCTACTGTATACACCTTTAAAAAAAATAAGAACTACTGCCGATTTCAGTTCAGACTCAAAATGTTCTTACTTTATTCTTATTTTTACACATTTTTCAAACATAGAAAATTATTGTTGTACAGCAGTATATACTGCAATAAAGAGAGTTTTTTTTAAAAATTTAAAACAAAATATAAACCTCAGTTGACATTTTACCTCAGCCTCAATTTGTTCCTATTTTGTTCTTAATTTTTAAGCAATTTCAGCATCAGTGTTCTTAAAAACGTGTTCTTATAAAAATAAAAAACATATGGACATACATTATTTTTGTCAAAGAAAATGTTATTGACCGGACGTTATAAAATTCAATACGTAGTTATTGTTCTATAAAAATTGTTTTTAATACTAAACTGCAACGTTTATAACGTAAAATTCATTTATGATTGGTAATATGTACAGAGGTGTGTTATACCTAATTTGAGTTGAAATTTATTTTGTTAATAGCTCACTTTAATATACAGATTTTCCAATTCAAGTAACGGATTCTATTATACAATTTTGTTTAGCTTAACTTAAGTACTCAACAAAACAAACACAGCTTAATTTTCCAAAACTATTTCTCAGCATCGGTGATTGTTTTGTTGCTGTACGGGAAGTATGCTGACGATTATCAAGGATTCATGTTATGTACAGGTACTTTATTTGATATCATAATCAATAACATCTTAGGCTAGCTACTACTTTGATTGACGTGCGGCTTGCAATGTGCTGTTCATTCTCTCTGTCCTTTTTTTTATGCATTAGAGACATGTTGGCAGCAAGTAGAAATAATCAATCAATCAATTTATCAACTTATTTCGAAAACAAGTCAATTTGTCACAAAAGAAAAAAAAGCACATTACATAACAGTGGGCAATGGTAAATTCTCCAGATATTAAGCAAATAGGAACGGTTAGGTTAAAACACTGAATTGCACGATTATTTTGTTTTATTTTATTTATTCGCATTAACAAACAGCTATAACAACCGCCATAAACATGTTAAAATACATATAAAATATTTACGTAAATAGATATAAAAATACATTAAAAAGTACTGACAAATTTTGATTTAAAAACATTTAAATTGTCAAAAAAAATATCAATATCAATATTAGACATAAAAAACTTATCATAACAATCACATAAACGTTTAAATAAACCTCCTATGTAACATCAACACCCGGCTACGAGGTGGGTTTAAAAGACCTTGATTTACGGGTACGCCTGGGCACATGTACATTAAATAAAGAAACTAAGTCACAATCATAATCAGAATTCAATATCTTAAAAAGAAAAACCATGTCAGAGAGCATTCTACGATCACTAAGTAAATTAATATTAAAAACATATTTAGGACAATTCTTTATAATGAGTCTACAACATTTTCTCTGAACACGTTATTATAAGCTAGGCCTACTCTAGCCTAGAAAATATTCAAATCAATGGTGATATAATTTAATCAACCAATATCTAAAAGATTCTAACCTACAAAATTAACAGAAGATAAAGATGCAAAGACGCTGAATGAAAATAATGATTTCTTTTCCGATTTTCAGGGCAAAAACAGAACTTACAGCATAAGTAAACAAACAGAGCCCTGTTTCGAGGTGTTATTGTAATGTTTTATAATTATTTTAGTGCAATTGGTTGTATTCGTATCTAGATTAAGAAGAAAGACAACTAATTTAGTCATTTTAAGGTCATGCATCGAACACTTTCGAAGACAGGAAACATATTTTAGATGTCTGAAGGAAATATCTTCATTGTTGTTAATCTAATTCAGAGCGATATATGACGGACTGCGAATTAAAACCGTTAAAATTCGGACGATATGTATAAATGACATGATTCCTGGGCATCCTGTTTGTAATAATATCTTCACTTGTTATTTCCAGATGAATTCAGAAAATTCCAGTAAACTTGACACGTTCGAGGCTAACTCCACCTGCTGCCTTGCACAATAATCCATGACGTCATCATCGGATAAATTCCTGACGTCACATCAGGCCATTGATTCAGCCATTGGCTGTTGAAAGGCTGAGTGAATCAGCCAGTCATTCACCCACACAACAGCGTGGTTTACAATCAACAAACCATGTATATAGAGTCAGCGTTATTATTATCTCAAGTATCTGAAGCGAGCAGACGATACGAGTGTTTATTCTTGCGCATGGACTTGCATTGAAAACGACATATCACTGTTGCTCTTCACAGCGCGTGGATTTATATATCACCTTTCAACGAGCTCTTCTTAATCACTGTGACGTGGATTATATAACAAAATAAATTTATTTTTTAAAAATAGTGTTTCCGAAACAAGGAATTATATAATTGAATTCTTACATCGAGATGGAATTACCGGGTCTAGGCGAGCAGGTATTTCTTGCGGATTATATACAGAAGCGGCGGATACGAAGCGTAAGTAACCGAAATTGTTTGTTTACATAATATTTGCAGCTATGTGATTGCTGCCGCTGGTTCGATTCGATTTATTTTTTTCGTCGTCTGCGCACCACGTACGTTCACGAACGGTTAACGTGCTGAGTGACCGGGAGTTCGTGACAGCACGCCGTTTTGTTTTGATTTGCAACTCCACAATAACTAAATTACCCACTGTTAAATAAGCATAGGTAGGCAAGATATTATTAACGACTGCCATCACAGCACGTAGTTGCGATATGAAATATTATATTCGATTGTACTAATAACACGTCACTATGATACAAAAATTTTAATGTATTTAAATTAATCTGCAATAACAATAACTTATATATGTCTATGACTATTGGTTATAAAGCATGCAATGTACAGTAATTTAAAAATAATTTTTTGCATCCCAAATGGAAAGATGTATATTCCGTATGCCTGTAACATAATCATAAACCCTGTATCTTGTATATAATGACATGTAAATGTTAATAAATTATACTCTTTTCATAATTTATGATTATATATAACC